TGTATGTGTCCGCCAATTAATTGGTTACTTGTAAAATGGATCAAAAGCTTTTTCAAGAATTCTTCAATGATTTCTGTGCCGTAAGCACAGGCTTTTCTTTTTGGGCGATGCATAGAAAAAATATCTAAAAAGCAACTTACTAGAAATGGCAACAGAAACCAGTCCACTTCGTGGACTGGGAACTTTGATCTTGAGACTTATAACTGAATCCTTTTGCATTTGAATAGAGAATTCAAATGATGTCGAATCACGACTTAATGTTGATCATGATCGTGATGCCACTACCCTTCTCTTCTGTTCTTATGTTATATTACTATTTTGACTTCGTATGGTAGTTACGTTTTCTTTAGGGGCTAAAGCTATAGAACAGAATATATACATATATCATGTACTCTAAATAGACAATTTGATATCCATGTTTCCACTTCCTTAGCTACTTACTTTTTTGTCGATGACTGTAAAATGTTGCATTTTGAACTCATGAACTCATCGTCGAATAGTTTTTTCTGAAAATTAATTTGATTCGATTCGATTCGCTTCCATACAGATTACCATTATTGATGTCCGTCCATCATGCATTCATTTCAGAGCTTGAAAGATCAAAGTGTTTAAATAAAATACGATTTTGATTTTTGTTTTTTTATTACACTTTTATTGAATTCATATGTTGAATCTCTTAGTTTGTTGTTGTTGTTGTTGGTTTTTATTATTATTTTTTGTCTCATTTCAACATCCATGCTGCGCTCGCCTTAATTTATTTCACTTAAATTTTACGTAATTTATTTATAATTTTTTCTGCCATCTCTGTGGTTGCCTTCTTACCCTTTTCTCTTCTCTGCTGTTGTCGTTTTTGCTTTTGCTTTTGCTATTCCTGTTTCAGTTTCTGTTTTCATTCGATATTATTAATTTGCCGCTCGTGCAACACAATTTATTTTTATTTTTTTAAATGTGTGCAGAGTTGTTGCTTTTGTTGTTGTTGTTTGCTGTTGTTTTAAACCGCATTAAAATTGTTTGCGTTGCGCGCTTTGTTTATGCTTAAAATTGTATTTAACGTATTTAATTTAAAAATTCCCCTCTGCCTTCTTCCTCATACATACATACATGTACTCGTATGTAGGTATGTTGTAGTTTACCTTTAATTAACACTAATTTAAAAAAAAATTCAACACATTTTTAATTATGGCTTATCATTTAAGTATTTGTTTCTGTTTATTTAATGATACACACACACACACACACACACGCACACCACTCCATCTGTAGTGGGTCTGTTATGCATAAGTGTATGTGTGTGCATACATGCATAGGTGTGTGTGTGTGTGTGTGTGTGTGTGTGTGTATGTATATAGCTCTGCCTCTTGCAACATGGACTTAATGTTTCACCTTACTCATACATTCATATTCATATAAACGTGTGTGTGTGTGTGAATTTCGCCAAACGGTTTCGGTTCCTCTCGCTTACGTTGAATTTTATTCAATTTTTCCTATACTCGTATATATAAACAATTAAACATTTATTAGCCGATGTAACTTTTAGTTTCTTATTCCTCCCTTCTTAACCTTCTGCTTTCCGCCTTCTTCTTCAATTTGTTATTCATTTGTTTCTTTTGGTTTTTTTTTAGGCGAGTGCACGCGAGTAGACGAAAAAAAAAACATTTACAATTAATTTTTAGCTTACTATTTTTTTGTTTTCGTTTTTCAATGCTTCGTCCACATGTTTTAAATATATATTTATTTAGTTATTTATTTATTTATTTGTTCACAGGAGAAAGCATTATTTAGCATCGGCTCGCCGACCGTTTTCTTACTTTTTCTCTTACAATAACAAATACATACATATGTGAGTATCTGAGTGTGTGTTTTGTGTGGGAGAGGGGGCGGGGTGGGGCGTGGACGCCTCATCTTGTTCGCCTTGCAGCGCATAATGATCGTTGATGAATTGTTTTTGGTCTTTGGTTTTCTGTTTGCTCTTAGTTGTATTCAATAAATATTTAATTTGCTAAACGTCATCACATTTATAAAATATATTTTTTGGTTTTTGTTGCTGCTATCTGTACTTAGCCTCATTCTAAATACACATATCTATATCCATAGGTATATATATAGTTGAAAGGTTTATTATTATTATTTCGTAATTGCTGCTATTTTTCCATCTCTTTTTCAAGTGAATATGTTGCGTGAAAAGTGCTGGAGGAAGAGAGAAAGGACGAGAGAAAGAGCAGGAGAGGCAAACTGAATGTGGACTTGAAGACTTCCACACTTCTTGGGAATCGTCTTCTGTAGTGCTAACTGGGCCTGCCACTCTTCCTACTCCCCCCTCCGAGTAGTCTGCAGTATTGTGAGAATATCTGGAGTTACCTTTGCGCAAAGCTTTGTCTTAAGCTTAGAGTTGAGGTGCGATTTATAGAGTGTGTTGTGAAAACGAAACAAGGCAGCGAAAATGGAGGGAAGTGAAAAAATGGCTGAAAGAATTCAGGCTTGCGGACTCTGTTAAGCCTTGTCTTGGCTCAACTTTCGAATCAATCCTGTTGTTCTTCCTATTTCCTTTCACTTCGAATGCGAGGAAATAAGGTGGCATGTGAGAGGTGGTGAGTGAGTGAGTGAGTAGGTGAGTAGGTGAGGGGCAAAGAGAGAAGTGAAAATGTGCTCGACATATTTCACATTCAAGTGTTGAGTATGACACACACTGACGCTTATCATAAATATTCTTGAATAACATTTTCATTTCACTTTATATTCATTTTTTGATTTTCTGTAAGTTCTGTAAGTTTCTCCACATCTGCTTTATTCCACTTCCATTCATTTGTTTAGTCATCTTGTTTAGTTATCAAACGTACAACAACAATTTAGCTTACATACACAATGGAAACTCACTATTTTATAGTTCAATATGCAATTACATACGAGTATGTCTGGCAAAAAAAATCGTATGCACTTTTATTTACAAGATTTGCAGCTGCAGCTGCCGTTGTCAGTTGTTGTTGTTGCTGTTGTTGGTGTTGTTGCTTTTGCTTTGGCAAACAATTAAAAATCAATTGAGAATTAGATGGAGAACAATGTGAAGGGTTAAAAGATTGCACACGATATGCCAACATGAAACGGACGCAGGGCGCACTTGAAGCTTTATTCTCCGTATTTCCGTTTTGTCAATGCCTGTTGCTTCGCAACAGTTTTGCATTGCAAAGTATAAGCAAATAGAGCACAACAACAACAACAGCAGCAGCAACAACAACAACAACAACTGTGATGAATTCTAAAGTTATCTTCATTTGCAGCTGTTCACTTATTCCTTTCAGTTATACTATAATAAAGTCTTGAGCTTAAGCTAAATATCGTACGACACAAGAGAGAGCAAAAAAAAATTGTATCTATGGCAGCGTCCACAGCTGCTTCATGTACCTCCGTTTATGTATATATATACTATATATATTTATATATATTTATTTATATAATTTATTTATGCACGTATGTATGCTTGTATGTAATTTACTATATATTTAGACATTCATAGCTTAACTTGTACTAGAAAATGTTTCGCACGTGTCTTCACTAGTTGCTGCCTATCAATGACGACGACAAAGGACGACAAGGACGAGCAAAGAGTTGAATGGGAAAGGTGGAAACATGAAAGGTCGAACAGGAAAGGAAAGAGATTAATAAAAAAAAAACCGTATGCTTGTTTGACATTTAACTTTTAGCTAGAAGGAAATTTGTTTTAGTTCTTATTTACAAGGAGTGTCTCTAAGAGTTTGTGTGTGTGTTTGTGAGTCAGAGTGGAAGTGTATGTATGTGTGTGTGTGTGTGTGTGTTGGCGTATGTGTGTTTATAGTACTTAGTTATCTTTTTTTTACATGCCTCTAGTGCAGCATGTGTAAGTCGACCTAAACATTAAGATTTCATATTTTTAAGTAATGTTTCTTTTTTGGTTTCGTTTTTTAGAAAAATTGATAAATTTTGCTGGCCAGCGCATCAAACATGAAAATTAGAGATCAGAGTAGCACCTCCTATATCCCTACATGTCGGGTAAGAATGGCGAATAATACTACCTTTAAAAAAATTTAAATTTAGGCTGCGAAATTGTTCTTCAAATCAAATACAAATGGAAAGCAAAGGAGAAACTCTATGAAGAACTTGGCAACAAATTATAGATGATGGAAAACCAACCCGAATTTTGTATCTGCCTGGAAATTTGTTTACTTTTATTTACCACTTTGGGTCGCGTTTTTGCTACAAAAAAGCTTACTAACATATGTATATGTTAAATAATGGGCACTTGATAAATAAAAATAATGTTTAACATTCACGATTTCAACTGAAATAGAGTGCTGAACGCATGAAAAAGTTAAGTGGGCTTAATATAAAGAGTTTGTAGCTTGTAACTGAGAAATGTTATGAGAGAGGGGTCTAATTAACTTTATACAACATTAAATGAAGTTGAATACTGAAATGATTTAACCGATAGTTCCTTCCCCTCACATCTGTGTATTTTCCGAGGCCCGCTTGCTCCTCAACTGTTGAATGGCAAAGCTTTTAAGCGTCGCCGTCCTCTTCTCTCGTTTTCATGCCGCTGCCCTGGCAATGTACACGTTAATATAATCTACTTAATTTAGTGATACCAGGATAAGCTACAGCGCGCTGCCACGCCCACGCGCGCACACGCACGCACACGTGTAGCCCACGCCGTACAGTTGTATAAATTCAAAAAAACAAGACGCCGCATAAATTCAAATTCTTCTCCTTCTTCTTCAAAAAAAAAAACAATAAACAAAGTAAAAGATTTGAAATAAATAAACACAAAATGCGAATGAATGCAATAACAAAATGGCGCAGTACTTAGAAAGTTGGCAACGCTGCGAGACAATGACGAAGTCGACGCTGGCAACGCCGACCGTGACTGCGACTGCGATTGCAGTCGGGCAGCTATGTCGCCGGCAGAGCGCTGCTGTCCAGGCAGAGGCGTCGGCTGCGACGCTGCAGCTGCAGCTGCTGGGCAGAGCAACTGCAATGGATTCGTTGTGGAGTTGCTGTTGTTGTTGTCGCTGCTGCTGCTGCTGCTGCTGCTGCTGCAGCTGAAGCTGCCAATATATGTTGTTGTTGGCATTGGTGGGTGCTGAGGGGTCTGTAGTAGTAGTTGCTGTTGGTTTGGCGCGTCTGGCGTCTGTTGCGCTGCAGGAGCAGCAGGCAGCCGCTGAGCAGCAGGAGCAGGATGAGCGCGGGCGGCTGAAGCGGCTTGGCATGTCCATGATGCATAGCCGCTGGATGTTCGCCTGCAAGAAAAAAGTGTACAAGAGAGTGAGAGAGATAGAGTGAGAGAGGGGGAAGGGAGAGAGTTAGTCACTGGCAGCCATTAAGTGTTCGCAGTTTGGGAGTGCGCCGCCACCCACGAGGCTGGCAAATCCAAAAGCTTTATTGCCTATTAACTTAATTGCTGGCAATAAAAACGCCAAGACAGTCAGCCCGGATATTCCGACAGCGGCTAAAAAACAAAACGCTGCACACATTCAAAAGTGGCTACAACTTGGCGCACACACACACACACATACATACATGTATACACTTATCACACACACATAAACTGGCACCAAAGAGGCACATTGTGACTCCTACTGGGTTGTTTGTAGGGCAAGAAATTCTAAAAATATAATTATGTTTACTGTAATTACTATTACAAGTGAGCTTTAGCGGTCCGATAGATTGCTCCGATATACTTTACACACTCGTGTGTATATTGGCTGCTTTTTGGTCAAATTCGAAATGAAAGCAAACGCTTTTATTCACCATTACATTTGCTAAAGCGTCATAGATAAAGGATTAACCCTCATGTACCTAACTGTATTTTAAAGCATCACATGACTAGATGAGTATTGAAGGTATTATAGTATTATTTAAGTTTGTGGTAGAATTTTGCATTCCTCGCAATTATTGTACAGTTCCATCACACTGTGCCTCTTGGACGCCTGGAGAGGACTGCGTTGCTTTGGCTCAGCCATAAATTCCAAACGAAATGCGCGCCTGTCGCTGCCCACGAAGCGACTTCAATTATCATGCCTCGCTCGTCCTTTACGAGTTCGCTGATGCTCATCATGAGCTGTTACTTAAGTGCCTTAGTAGACAGGCGCTTCCTTACATCTACTCGTGCTACCACTGCTGCTGCCACTTGTGCTGCAGCTGTGCGGCCGATGGCATGCAGCACGTGGCATAAACCATTGAAGTTCCTATGCTGAATTCTAAATGGCAATGGCACTGCCAATAACTAAGCGCCTCGCACACTAATTACAAGCAACTCGACGCCCGTTGCTCAGTTAATACGGTTTGACATAATTAAGCGTCCACACAGTTGCCGGCAGACAATGACGAACGGCTGTCCATGGAGTTGCCGCCGTCACTTATGACAGCTGACTGCCAGAGAGCTGAGATCCAGTGCTGGCATCGTGGCAATTGTGGCAGAATCGGAAAATCGTGGAATCGGGGTATCGGGGTATCGGGGAATTGGGGAATCGACTGTCCTGGCCATGGCCAGTACGAAAGCCACTTCGGAAACTTTGGCCACATTCGTGGCCGACAGTGCGTAAAGCGGCAAAGACGCAACAAAATAAAAGTCCCATAGAAACTACACTTAATTGGATTGAAGGAAGTCAGTCAGCCACATATGGCTTGGGAGGCGACTGTCGCTACACTGAAACAAACAAAATTGTTTCCAATTGTGCTGCACATCAATGTCAAAGCATATATCTCTTCAGTACTAGTATATGGCTCAATTATTTAACTTATCTGTCTGCATATTTCATGTTCCGTTCCAAACGAGCTCGAAAATAGTCACAAAAATTAGATCCACACCGTTTAATAACTATTTGTAGCAGTCCATTATGGCATTTCAATGACAGCACTTCTCACACAATGAAGAAAAATGTTGCAAAACACCAAAATCCCCAACCCTCCGAAATTTCCTCGCATACTCGTACATGTATCTAAAGTGAAGTACAGTTTTGTTTTCGAATCATCAACTTCCCTCTATGAACAATGGAGTGAACGCAAAGTAGGTATTCAAATGGGATCTGAATAATTAGAATATCATAAGAATAAAGAGTGCCTTGTGAAGCTGGGGAAAATGAGTCCGGTAGCTACTAATTCCAACTTCTACAACTTTGGCAAAAGCAGACATCGTGAGATCTTAGCTTCCGCGCTTGCTGAAGAAGGAGGAGATCATTTAACCAGGTTTTTCTTTGAGTGAAACCGTGGATTGGTTTGTTATTTGGCTTAGATGGCTGCAGCCTCGTTTCAATTAATGAAACTGACTTTGATGTGCCTCGCATTCAAGTAGAAGCACGTCTAGGTGTAATGATCGCATTTAATGCCAAAAGCAAACAACAAACCAATAACAACTACGAGTACGACGGTGAAGGGAAAACAAAAGCAGCTGCCAAACAAATATGTATAAGCCGCTTTTGTTTTTCTTTGAACTGGCCACGTTATCAATAATGCAGTCTTGGTAGTTTGCGTTATTCTTGCTGTATGCCTCTCTTTCTCTGAAGTTGTCTGTGTGCATGTGGGCGTGTGTTTGTGTATAGGTGTGAGTGGAAGGGAGTGGCTTGAGGTGCCTGAGACACGCTGATTGCGCACAATAAGGACACATCGCTCATACGAGTACAAGGGAAGGAAAGGTGCTGCCGGAAGTTGGCAAATCAGGGCTGATTATATACATATTTTTCACATAGCTATTCGGGATGCATCTGTCATTTATCTATACACTATCTACCGCTCATCTCCCATACTATATACCTAGTTCCCAAAAATAGATAAGCTATCTATTGCATCTTTATATTCCTTTATCTACTTATCATATATCATTCAAATATTATTTCTCTATTATTATCACCTTGTCAATTTAATTCCCTTTCGCTTAGTTAGAATGCCAATACTATAATCTGATTTATATAAGTATATTATAATCCATCTATGATCTAGCTACCATTTGGGAAATTTTTATTGCCTGAAATACTATCTTTTAGTCATATATCTGCTATATATTTATCATCCATTTACCAAATGTTATGTATATTCCACAGCTATCACCTACTTTTCACCTACAAATCGTCCATATCTAATCGACTTTTCTAATCTACCATCGGACTATCCCGCTTATTCACTCAGCTGGGATTCCACGGACTTTTTCACTTATTTCTTTCGCATAGAAAGCAATGTGCAGCTCTGGCAGCCAACGTCACCAAACTTCCGCTACATTGCTATTCAAACGTATCGTTTGTCCCTCAAAGCTCCTTCCCCAACCACCTTCCCCTTAGGCACCGCACCGCACCGCACCGAGTCTCATCCGATGTGTCGATTTCAATTTCGCTTTGCTTTGCTCCTCAAAATAAGCCAAAACTCGCGCGCACACAGACTAATATTCTTATTAAATAAACTATTTGGAAATGTGGGACAAGGCGGGTAGCTTGACAGTTCCGCAGACCATCCTTGGAGCCCACCCTTTAGAGCCCCCTGTGAGTTTTGGGAACGGGGCTCCTTTTGCCCTTGCCATTGGCAGCATCGAGCGCAAACAACTTGAGTTAATTACTTAAGTTTCAGCAGTTGTTCCACTTAACAAGTTGTTCTTGTTTTTGTACCGATTTCTTGCTTAACCGTTATGTAAGTGGACGTTCAACATATCAGAGCTGTGTGGATACTTTTCGCACACCCTTCGAAGCTTTTTACGCATTTGTTGGGGCTTCAAAAAACAAAACACAAAACATAAAAATAGTAATGTAAATCGCTAAACTACACATTTCTTCAGTTATAAGAAGCATTTATCTTTTAGCCTTTTTTTTAGATAAAACTAACTGCTTGTGCTGTAAGCCAATAGGAATAACGAAGCCTTCTTGATCAATAGTTTGCCAGTACAGCTAACTTTCAAAATTTTAATATTGTCTTGATTTTTGCAGTGTAAGAGCTTTAAGAACAGATAAATAATAATCTTCATCATTTTTTAGGCACGCCTTGTCAAAAAAGAAAAACAGCATTCTAGGTATCAAAAAAATATTGCACTGACAATTGCAGATACTGATTTACAAAAACTCTTCCAAATTAAATACTAGTTTTTACTGCTAGTAAATAATAATTTGAGCTTCAATACGTCTCTAACATTATTTTGAAGTACGCTGAAAATATATATACTTCAGTTTTTCATGTTAAATACAAAGTTATAAGTCGTGGTTGAGTTCGAAAGCGGAAGGAAAATCAAGTAGACCAGCAGTAAGATGCTGCAAACATACTTGTATTTCAAAAATGCTAGAATTGATTAACACATGTATTTAGCATGCATGTGGATTATGGATTGGGCTTTTGATGTTTCAGCTCATGGACAATAGCAAGTATATGGAGATCCTTTGAATGGGCTAGCCTCAACATCAGTAGTCGCTAATTATTCAAGTTGTTGTTTTTAGTGCGCTTCTCAGCTTTTTTGGTTCATTGATGCGTTCAGCGCTTCCTTTTGATATTGTGGGCTAATTCGGTATTGTATTTGTTGTAGCATGTCCTCCCAACTCCCAACGCCCAACTCACATGCCATTCCCTTGGGCCCCTGGGTCCCCCTCCCCTTCTCACACAAAATTTGGCTGCTTACACGCCAAAGTCATTTGCGCTTAAGTTGATAAACTTTTTGCTTTGTAAGCGCTTTTTTCCGGCCTGCAAAGTCGCCGTCGCCGTCGCAGTCGCAGTCGCAGTCGCAGTCGACGTCAGCCTTAGTAGCTTCAGCTTGTACGAGAATACTGCTATATAGCCAAGTCAAAACTTGCGAAAACGTTTATGCCCAAAGTTTTACAACTAATTTTCTATGTCTTGGCGTGTGGCGCGCAAGTTTTGCGTACATCATTGAGCGATTGGATAACAGCCATGGAGCACTCTCCGGGGGAGGTGGGTGTGGGAGACACATTGCTCATACGACTGACTGGTTGTGTGCTCGTTTGTGAGAAGGACGCTCTGCTAATTGCCGCCGAAAAGCTGCCAAGCCAAACTTCTTTTTCGGGATACACAAACACAGGCGAGAAAGAATCGGTGCTAAGTCAACAGAAATAAGCTCAGAAATAAATTTCATCGACAGTTGCTGGACCTTACGATCAGGCACTAAAGCTGAATACACAAATGCCAGAAAATATGCTGCAAACTAGTAAACAATGTTGGAGGCTCTCAACCCAAGACTAACGACAATGACTATGAAAAATAAATGAAGAATTTCTGTCCCTGAAAATATAGTTAACATACTTGTATGCGAACAAACAGAACAAGCTGTTGGGCCGCAAGCCTACTTTGTAGCCATAAAGCTTGACATTTTAGTTGAATGATTTAAGTAACAGTCTTGGAAAAGAACGACTGCATTATTACAGTCAAATTACAAATAATCACGATATGCTGACAAGCTTAATAATTAAAATGTAATACGGGTTGTTATCATATCGTCACTCTAAATTGCCTTTTCTATCAGACCTTTCTCATTTTCTAAAATTTAAGAGAAACTATAGAATAATTTGTTTCCCAGTCCCCTGTCTGCGATCTCATTTCACTTATCTATTTGGCCCATTTTATCTGTAGAAGGACAGACTGAGTTGTGTAGAAGGAAGTACTACTTGTATTTTGTTCTGAATATAATCAGCCATGGCCAACAATGTTTTGTATTTGTAGACGGATATGATTTTAATATTTGGCGTTTGAAGCAGAACAAATAAATTTTGTAATGAGCAGCCAACAAATCTGCAAGACAAGAAATCCAATCAAAAGGACTTTTACGTCTTCCTTCCTCGAGTGTATTGTGTTTCATAGTCTGAAATATAGTTGCTGCTCTTGTTATTCCTACTGTTGCTGTTGCTGTTGCCGTTGCCGTTGCTGTTGTCATCGTCAATCAAAGCGCAGCAGCAGCAGCAGTAAGAACAGCAGTAACAGCAGCAGTAACAGCAGCAGTAACAGCAGCAGTATCAGCAGCAGCAACTTCGCTGCCACTCACTCCTCTGGCTGTCGTCTGTCAAATAAAGCCAAAGCAGCTTAGTTGACTTTTGGCGCCGCACATTTATCTTGTCCATCTCCCAGTGGCTGCCTCAGTCCATATCCCCACTTGCTCAGACCCGAAATCAGAGGGCTGAGCGGCATGGGAGCTAGAAGCTGGAAGCTGGTGGCTAGTAGCTGGCTCGGCTCAGCTCAGCTCGGCTGAGAGCGACCAAGAACTTATCCACTCATACGTTTCGTTTGTTTAGTATGGTCAAGAATTTTTGCATACCGGGCTACTCACCATCGACGATGTGCACGCGCACCGATGTGGGATTGGCATTGGACGGTGTGCATGTATAGAGTCCAGAGTCCTGCTGTATGGCCTTCTGCACCAGCAGACGACTGGTGGTCAGCACACCTTTCTCGGTGACTAATGATATGCCGCCGCGAGGTGAATCGAAATTTATGACCTGAAATGAATAACAACAGACAAACAAACAGCTTAGTGCTTAGAAATGATGCGAATGGACCGAGAGGGTCTCTCTCTCTCTCTCTCTCTCTCTCTCTCTGTCAGACCGACAAACCGTCCTCTTATACTATATACTAATGCTATATACTTGTACTATGTACGAGTATGTATGTGCATTGCAGTTGAAGTTTCAACAAAACTGTTTTTTCGGGACGCCATAGAGCACAGTGTGTCACAAACAATAGGAAATGAGGTGAGCATATTAAAAGTAGTGCCAACTAAAGTCAAATTACAGTTCATTTTATTTAATTAAAATTTAAAAATTTAAAAAGTGACTAAGCAATTTTTCGAAAATTAAGTAAATCACCATTTAAAATGGATTATTTGCAAACTATAACGATTCAAATAATAAATATAATGACAACATTAAAAGTAATCCTCATTATATCATATAAGGAGGCCACTCAATTCCTTTTCAACAAGTACTATTTAAAATGTTTCTCAAACTTTGGAAGTTGTGCCAATGATCGCCGATCTGATATCATTTACATATTTCTGAACAAGGGGACTTTAAAAAGAGAATTTCAATTGCTTGAAAACAAAACACTTGTATATTCTTATATTTAACTTACTCGCAATTTATGAAATGAGTATAAAAAAAGTGTTAAGCTTTATGAAAATAGTTAGTTTTGTTCATTGCTTGTGCAAATTATCCAGCAAGGGGATTTACATGTCGCAGGATTCTAGGCCACTGTTCAATGGGTGGGCTTGAGGGGCAAGGTGTGCGGGTAAGTTTGGGGCCATGGCAGTTAGGACGCTCTGCTTTTTATTGCCAACGCGCATGTTAGTTAAATTTTTATTAATGATATCATGTTAGTCAAGTCAGGGCAGCTACGTGCCTGGGCAGCAGCAGAGCTCCGCTTTTCATTTCATTTCTTTTTCATTTTTTTAGTTTTTTTTTTTCGTTTTTTTTTGTTTTGCTTATTTTCTTGCTTGCTTAGTTTATGCCACAACTTTTATGCGCATATGAGTAAAAATTTTCATATTTTCAGCTTGACATTTTGCAGGCGGAAAATCCTAATTACAACAACAACAGCAACAACAATAAACAAAACCAAACAAAAAGAAAAAAAAACACATACGAATAACAATGGCAATCATAATAATCGTAATCATAATAATAACATAAGGAGCGTAAGGCACGAGACCCTTGTCAAATGTAATTATTTCTTATGTGCGGATGACTACACAAGACCTAAGAGAGGGGTCCTGGGAGGTCCTCTGTCGTATAACTTACCTGACGGTTGTGCGACCAAATGACAGTAGGCGGCGGTTCCGGAGCAAATTTTACAATGCAAGTCAAATTGATGGTTGAACCCTTGTTGATGTGCAGCTCGGGGCCGCCAATGACCTCGGTGATGGGCTCTGTGAGGAGATAGAGACAGAGATAGAGAAGGAACGATAAGTGGGTGGAGGTTACAAATAAAAGCGTTGCATAAGCTGCGAGCCTCACACGCACACGCACACACAAAATGGCGCATAAAACATTTCAAAGCTCATTTCAGCTAAATTCAAACAACAATAAAAATAAGAACAAAAACACAAAATATAAATATAGAGAAATGTGCAAAAAGCACATAGAGACAGAGAGAGACAGACAGAGAGAGAGAGAGAGAGAGAGACGCAGAAACAATGCGGCAACAAAGACTTTCATATAGAGATGAGAGCAGGAAGACATGGCAAGGACGACGACAGGACAACCACACTAGCTGTCGGATTATTTTGACAAATCTACATACTTGATCCCTTTTCTTTGTAATCTAGGCTCGGTAAATGTATTCTCAATATTTTTTCAATAAAATTTGAACACCAGTTCGATAAAAAATAAAGAGGATTATATTTATAAATATACATACTTATTTGTACAAACAATTATTCTGTTGGGAAAAACTGAATAATACAAGTATTGGAGAGAAGGAAAGCCAACACTTTCTATGGATTGTGAGTGTTTAAAACACTGCTCAACATATTGCTTAAAAATTTGTCGCATTATTTGAAACAAACAAAGTGCTACTGCTTGACAAAATTCGCTTATTAAAATTATAGACCGGCTACAATATTTTCAATATTATGTTTTCGTTCTTTGAAAGCTAGTGGATTAGTTGGAAAAAGAAAATAATAATATAACTTTTTAATACAAGTTTGTCTTTTTTCCAATAGATTGATAAAATCATGGCTAAAATGTCACAAATGCAACAAAAAACAATTTTTAATCTTTTATTTTAATCTGGTGCCAACAAATAAAAACTTTAGAACACAAAGCACATTTAATTGTAAGATAAGTAGCTGAACACAGCCTTTATGCTTGTATGTTCGAAAATGCTGTTCAAGGCAAATACTTTTAGCGCCCAGTGTTGAAATGTAGAAGTGCAGAAGGCAACGAGCAGTCGTCGGCAGTTCGCCTGTTTAAGAAAAGTTTATCTACCGTTGCGTTAAATTGTTTTCTTTCCTGCTGCGTAACCAGAGCGTGCGTACCGCAGCCAATGTCTACTGCAGGACTGTCCCATTCTCCATTTGTCCCCGCCACCCCACCCTCTTCATGTCCTTGCACTGTTTTATGTGTGTGTGTGTGTGTTTATATGACATTTACACGTTTGTTTACTTATTCTTATTCATCGTAAAACAATTTCTAACTTTTGAGGGCGCACAAAAAACGCAACGAGGCTGCCACGCCCCCCGAACCCCTCCCTCCGCCTCTCCCCATTCCACCAGTTCTTTGGTATATTTTCCTAGCAGCGCGGAGCAGAGCCCAGTCCAAACAATGGCAATAGAAGGAACACAACAGCTACACAAAAATTGCCAACCGGAATAAATACAAAATGGCAGCAGCCCCATTGTCAAAGGAAGACAGCAGCCCGCAACAACAGCCGCCATGCAAGACAAGTACAAAATTTCAAATTCAAATCTAACAGAACAACAGCAAAAACAGCGAACAACAAACAGCAAACAACAAATTGTGTCATTAGTTCAAGGACATTGATTGAAATCTAAAGATGGAGAATCAGATTAGAATGAGGCGAGAAATTGTTAAAAATATACGCAAAGGCAGCAACTACTGCTCGTTGTAAGCGCTCCAGCAGCAGAAGACTCTACTGTTCAATGCTAATAAATTGGTAATGTGTGTGTGGGTGTATCTGTGTGTATGTGAGCGCGTTTACTTGCTTGCTTGTTTGTGTGTGTGGGTGTGGAAAATGGCTGCTTTAGCGCTTCCGCTGCTTCAAAGTTTTGTCTGTTGACTTTCTGTTGTTGTTTGTGCTCCCCCTCTCTTTCTCTCTTTCTATATAAACCGAGACGGTTAGTGTGTGCTTGTGTGTGTGTGTGTGTGTGTGTGTATGGAAACTGCAAGTTTGGCACACAGTTAAGGTAACGGTAATGGGCTTTTGCCATAAAGACGACGCTAAAGGTTAGCGAAAGTTACGCACTTGCAAATGGCGGCAGTTAAAGGATACTGCTGGATAATAAGAGTGCTCTAGAGGGGGGCGGGACAAGGACTGCCATACCAACTACAACGTGCGCGAACTAAATTATTAAGAGCAGCTGCGATAACACAATGCAACACAATTCTTTCAATGAGGCTATGAGGTGGGTTCCGATTTCCCAATTATTATTATTATATAGAGCAGTTATACAATTCTTTTCAGCTTTTTGTGACATAAATTCTTAGAAAAAACATTTAAAGTTGAATTAATTTTTTCACGTCCTGTGTTTGTGCAGAAATACAACAATTTGGGAAATATCATGCCTGAATCGCAAGCATATTTGCGGTCATAAAAACGATCCTTTTTTTTTCTTTTTTATATTGATTTTTCACTTTAATGAACCCAGTTTTTGAATAACGTACAAAACATTTGTTAAACGCTCCTTAACATTGGAAAATAATAGAGTTAATCCATTGGATTATTTGTCGAAAAAAGTGGTGACCGTCTTGATTAGTTGAGGTCCAATTTCATATTGTGTAATTTATAGTAACAAAAATTTAAATTTCGAATACATAATTAACGATGCGTTAAAATAATAACTTAACTTATTTCAACAAATCCAACTAAGTTTTATTTTAAGGCGAAATAGTGCGCCCTAATATGATAATAATGAATGTTTGGTCGACTTAATATTGCGAAAATTTCTGTAGGGGACGTTTCTGGTAGAGTTTCAGGTAAGCTTTCTATTCCCTGATTTTTCAATATCAAAATGCTAGATTGACTTGCTCTACTGAGTGGCTGGGCGTAGGAGTAGCGTAAAATTTTTCCGCTCATAACTATTCTTACCGGTCTAGATAAAAATGTCTCGTCAAGCTTAATTCAAACTCATATATACATTTTCTTTAGGGTTCAAATATTATTCCTTTTACCTAAAATATACATTTGCACAAGCCTTACAAATACTGTCACTGCGCAAAAATAAAAAAACATTTGTCATTTTTAAGTCCAGAGAAATAATTGGGCTTGGTCTTTTTTTTGGTAAAGTTTTTTATAATTATTTGCTTTATTCTTTTGGCTTAATAAACAGTGAAGTTTTTGTAGAAAATTGATAGAAGTAGCTTACAGATTTCGATCCCTAAGTGTTTCCCTTCCAAGGTTTTCTGGTTTAAGCGAAAAATTAAGAATTTTAAATTAAGATGAGCACAATTTTCCGTTTTGTTTCTAATTGTTTCTAATGCCAAACAAACTTTCCACTACCGAGAACTGACAGCTTCCTTTCTCTTTTACTTTCGTTTTTTCGGTAGGTTTTTCTATTATTCCATGCCAGCTGATCAGCTTAGTGCTTCTCTTTTCGGAAAATGTAAACCTTAACTTCGGCCGCACACCTTATTTATTGATCCAAAATAAGTGGAAGCGCCCAGCCGTTCTCAACGACTAAAATGCAAAACAAAAGCGAGCCGAACAAAAACGCAGCTCATTCTGTCAGCTGCTGGGCTGCGGGCTTTGTTTGTGGCAGGGAGATATCGGGTGCTTGCTGGGGTGTTGCGTGGGTGGCAGTGGCAGTGGCATGCTGGGGCTCAGCGGCTGATGGCTGGGCGAGCATGCGGAGAGTTAATATTAAACAAATACTACGCATACGACACGTGGGACCAGCGCCAAATCATCAAACAAGCTTTGATTGTGTGCACACACACACACACACACACACACAGACACACATTAGTATGTGTATATTACACATGCTAACGCACACACACAAACACACACACACACACAAAGACACACATTTATGATAGCTGGCTGGCGCGCCTATGTAGTGTAAGCATGCTAGCAAGTTTATTATTTATGCCATTCATGCTGAACGGCAGCGGCAACAGCTTGGCACTACACACACACACACACACACACAAATATGTACATATGTATGCAAACACATATAAATAAATGGGGAGAAATTGGCGAATCTATCCTGCCCCAACCAACTCTAAGCACGCCCGAAAATTCAAATTCACATCCACTTGTATATGCGGCATAAATATCTGCACATTTCCATCTCTCTGGTAGGTAGCTGTAGCAGCGATTCCACGCCCGCGCCCTGTCTCTGTGGAATTTATGACCTTTTTACTTTTAATTTGGTTGCTGTGGCGTCTGTGCGATTGCCATCTCTGGCAGCCGCGAGCCCCAGTTCCGCTGCTCACGACTAGAGATGGTTGTGCCACATGGGCGTGCGTGAAACAAATCCACCTTATGAGAACTGGAAGAGTTTTGACATTGGAAGGCACGGCAGCGCGCACGAAATTCCAAGTAAGCCTCCAGTGAACCACAAAGTTTTGAGCCAACCCATAATGATGGGTGATAATTATTTATTCGAATTATTTATCATCAACTAAATTCAATTATGTTTGTTGTAAGCCTTTAAGAATGTTTATGTCATAAGGAGAAGTAGAGTAGGGAAAAGAAGGGAATTCCAGTTACGCAGCTAACTCGGTTTCAAAGAGGATTTGTTCTGTTATTTTACAATAAACATATATGTATTACATGTAGTTTTCCTCCAACACAGCTATAACATTCTTGATTTTATCAAGAACATCAAGTAAAAGATTTGTAAACTTCAGTGGACACCTACTAACCTGCATGATTATATAGCTCTGGAATATTATTGAATAGCATTAACTGGCTTATATTTTGGGCACAACAAGGTAAAGAAAGTACATTTATTTCTACACTCTTCAATAATTAACTACACATTTAAATATTATCATAATAAAGTGGATCTGCATCAACCAACATCTACCTCACAATCATTATGCAACAACATAGCCTTTCCTCTACGATATTACTTTTAAAAAAGTAGCATATCTTTAATGAAATGAAACAAATTAATAAATTCACATTGAAAGAAAGCAGTCAATCGAGAATAAAATATACTTTGTGCAAAATGCCAGA